GGGTAGTGCGCCGACTTGTTTGTTGAGCTGCTTGAGCTTCTTCCATCAGCGACAGCGGTGGCGGTTCTGTTCTCCTCGTTCGCGGTTGACCTCCCTGCGACCCGCGTTCTGCAATGCGTCAGCAACGGTGTCTACGCGCCGCAATGCACTTCTACCACTCTGCCGCGTATCTACAGTCCGCTCTCGCATGTTCTACATCCGTTCTCTCCAGAGACGATCTCAATACGGGTACATTAGGCGTGATATATGCCTCAACATTCACTAGAAACATTTTTTTCTCCAAAGATCTGTTCAAATAATCATGTACGACGGCCATTTGTTATAAAGAAGTAGGCAAAAAATATGATAAGCTGCAGTTATTCCGTATCAAAGGACGCTAATAAAAAAAGATTGATGAAAAGATCTTTCGTTTCGTGATCTAAATTTGAACTTAGACATTTCGGTGAAATTTTTCATAACTTTTAATATGATTTTATTAATTATTACGAATATCATCAATTGACACAGAAATTTGGATCAAATAATTTTTTAACATTAGAACTGCGATCATCTTGAACGTTTCAGATCTCAATGTTCAGTTATTTTGTTCAAAATGTCTAACCATAATATTTTTTATTTAATACTAATTTTGTATAGTAAAATTCTTTTAAATATAATTAAATAGCATGAATAGCATATTTTTAAATTTGATAGCTTAATTTTTGTTTAATATATAACGAAACATTCTAGTGTTAGCTTTATAAATTATAACACAATGTAGGTGAATTAGCTGTTAATCAAACACTATTAATTTTCGTACTATCAGTCATACAAAAAAGTGTCTATCTGAATGTTAAGGCATTTATGACGCTTATTGTACACTACACAGCCTAAAACTGCTCGCGCAAATGGCAATCAGTGGAATCAGAAGGATAGACTGATGTAGGCTGCATTTACAGCACGTATTTTTGTTCCGAAAGCGGCTTCAATACTGCAAACCCGTCGAATTTGCTATTCGTTGCAATCTATCCGCTCGAGTTGTTAGGATTTGACTATTTAAAACTGAGTTTTTTCTCTCTCTCTCTCTCTCTCTCTCTCTCTCTCTTTCTCTCTTTTTGCTATATATATCGATGACGTCAAGACTATAATTCTCTCACTAAATACATACTCTTGTGAAGATATATAGTACATTGAAAGAAGATCTAAAATCAATTTAAAGCCTTGAATACAGCCTGCCTGGCGCGTCCTCGGCCGATATTTCCGAATCCGTAAAAACAATGAAATCACATTGAGTGTGAGATTAGTCGTATATACATACATCACGCAATGATTGTGTCGTATTAATTTTTCGTGTTTTACAACAGATAGCAACGAATAAAAAAACTTCTAAATGTATTTCTAAAGTTTGTACTATATTTCGAACTATTTTGCATGATTTTGCACACTTTTATAAGAGCAGGAAATTTTAGTAAATTTCTTCGCTTCGAACGTTATCGATATACAGTTATAATAATTGTCATATTTTCTTAAATGTATAGCGCAATAATTTCCGCACTGAAAACAATCAAGTTTATTTCAATCGATCGATTCTTATAACAGTAACAGTGAATTTACGATATATACCGAATAAAATTCACGAATATCTGATACTTTGAATCCCCGAACTAGTTCAAAAAGATGCTGTAACGAGATATTTTATCAAAGATATCATATAATATTTCCAGTATCACATATCGATCGCTTTTTCTCTTAGTCAACGAAATTGGAATTTTATTAGACATCATTTGCTATTGTTGAACCTTTATTGTTATTGATTTTGATAACAGGGAAACATCCGGGCGTAACATATCGGAAGTTGGGAAATAAAGTGTATTATGAGTTATATTTCTGAAAACATACTGCGATTTATTATTTTGATATAAGAATTATTTGAGAAAAATTCAACATCTTTTTGCTTTCGGTAACATTTGTTAGCATTTTATTTTTTCACAGTCTTCTAATTTCTAACATTAAACATTGCGTGATTTTAATTAAGTATGAGAAATTAAGATTTTATTAATGTAAGGTAAAATTAATTGAAGAGAGTTTTATAATTTATTCTTATTCTCAAAGCTTAATTTTTTTTATTAATATGGTTTTATTTTTTTATTACATTCAAATATGCTGTAATTTGTTTTTGCTGCAAACGAATTGTTTTTGAGCCGATTGCAAGCAAAACGTTCTTGATTGAACAAAATTGTTTTACTGCTTCACGATTGCGATGACTTAATGCGGTCACTGCATTGCGTTATGATAATTTGCTTTATGTCCATTTTAATATTCATTTCGCGATGCGTAATATAATGAGAAGTGCAAAAACAACTTAATGTCGAACTGCGAAGGATCGATGGACCTTGCTAAAAGTTAACAGTGACTTCTGTTGTCGGTTCTAACTGACGTAAATCGTTCATTATATTCCTCTGTTTTGTCATACATGCAAGAATTGCGATATGATTTATTACAGATTTGATTTATTGCATATTACGTAAAGTACGTATTATATTTTATTTTCAAGGATATATAAAAGCTTTGAAATATAATAATAATATACGAAACGATAAAAACATTGTAAATGAGAATTAAAAATATAACATTACGTACATTAATCTTGGAATGCTCTTAAATTTTTACTACAACTGTCCAGCATTTTTAAAAAATTAAGAAACTAATTTTTATTTGAAAATCAATTATTAGCGACAAGTCATAAATTGAGAATGTCACGCGATGATTGTCACGTAATATTTGTGAAAATTGTAGTATAACTTGCATATTACACAAAATTACACGATTATACGAAATTACCGTAGTAGCGATTCCGACCGAAAAAAATTCTTTTTGAAGAGACTCTAGCATGTTGCTCATTGTTGTAACAGATTACGCGATTGTCATCTATTTACTGATTCAATGTCACTTAAGCGTTCGATGGGGCTCGATAACACAAACGATTACATTCGTAGATTACATGAAATCTAAAAATACGAGGTCAGATTGACACGCGAAGAGCCAGATTGTACTAATTATCCACTGGCTCCGATCGATAGTTCTACATACAAAGTTTCTATCGATACGATCGCTCGAATAAGGAGTGCACGAGTGTGCATAATATGTTCCGGTTTTTTTTTCAGTTCAATTTTCAATCGCGGCGCGCAACGTCACCGATTTGTTGAATGAATCGGAAAGTGGCGACTTGCCACAAATTTTATTTGATGAAAGTAGGTCTCGTCCAAAGACACTTCTCGGAAAGCGTCAGCGAAACAAGCGAACTATTGAACGGCGAGGCGCTTTCGATTTTCGCATCGTGACTCAGTGAATATTACGTTCTGCATACCTCGAGTAGTCGTCACCCGGTATTATCGACATGTTTCCTCTAGACGCACAGCATTATCATAACAAGCGGATATTATAACGTTATATCCATCGCGCCGGCATGTAACGTTGCGTTACCTTCATGTACGTTTGACGAGAAAAAGTCGCGAGGAACTAATTCAAGTTTTCTTATTACACAGCTTTTACTTCACTCCGTAAGTTTTAATCTACAACTCTGCTTTTGATCAAAGCGAACAAGCTATGAATTATTGGAAATTGCAAATATTGTAGAATTTTCAACTTTGGTTCATCTAATTTTCGATTATATTTCTGCAAAATAGTGTTGTGTAGATTTTAAAAAATTTTAGCGTAAGTTTTGACAAGTTTCGTGATTGTACAACCTCGAGTTTTTATTCCTGTTCAAAGAAAAGAATTTTGTTTCGACAGACTCCAAATTTATTGTTAATCAAGTTGACATATTCGTCGAAGAAATCGAACGGCATTTAATATTGAATCCAGATATGACTTTACCTAACGTTTTAATGAATACTTAAGTGATATACGTATATATAACTTCGCCCGAAGTGGGCAAACACATATATTACTTTCAAGGACCTTCAGATGTGTCTTCGGATGTGTTTTTCGACGGTTCGTTCGGATACATATATACAATCGAATGTAGCAATGAACGGTCCATTTCTTTCATACACAAACTAAAGCTACGAAGCGAAAGCCAAGCGAGAAGTTGAATGAAAATTCATAGGTCAGTACAGCGCACACCGCCGAGAATGAAGTGCATCGAGTAGCGAAGACTTTGAGAATGAATCAGCTAACGGCGCTACATGCCTGTGCGTTTGTTCAGGGTTAAGGTGATATGGAAGTTGAAGTTGAGGTTACGATTCTAAATATAGAAAATGCTTCTGCAGGGTCAAATCAATAGGCGTGCTACGTATATATTTAGAATGCCTAAACGTTTTGAATTCTTATATCCTCAGACATATCTAAAATGTACGTCCCGCCAATGTTCAGCGCCTTTTTGCGAAATACAATCGTGCAAGCCTCGCAATTTACCAAATTTCCCGTTTTAGATCTATGTGATAGATGATGGCCACAATTGCGGATTATTTTCGGCACGAATACGAGTTCCCTCCCTCGCCTCCCCCATCTTCGATCGCCCCGAGATGTGATCGAGAAGGTCATGCTCGAGCGAGAGTTCTCGATTACAATTTACACGTCGAAACTGATTGAATATCGACGCATATTTATGTGATTACTTTGCAATTGATATACCCGTATAATATTTCCGATTTATTGTGACTTTAATGTGTGCAAACAGTCTATATCTATCTCCAAAAACTCAAGTAGATTCCGTGGCTATGAGGTGCTAGATAATTCATGACGTACCTAAGCTAACTAATGTATGTTCGCATATCTGAAGACACAACACCACACGTAACACAGATACAGTAGAGCGGTATAACATCCACTAACGCTAAGTCCGTGTAATACTCTATCGCCGTGATTTGTTGTCGAAGCGTAAACGCCGTTCTCGATATTATTCAATATTAGGAGAAGGGTATCGAGAGCGGTGTATTATCGGGAGCAGGAAAGGTTCGTCAAACGGACGGTCGGTCGCATTTGCCGCGCTGATACTGACGTCATCATTACCGTGTCAGTTTTAGCGCATACCTTATCGGCGGCGAGGTCGAGGACGTCGTGTTCCAGTCCGGGTGTCGGATGTGGTGCACGCACTTAGCGGTTGCGGAAACGACAGCGGTAGCGTCATCCACGTCAGAGATAGCGTCGGGGAACTCGTGCGAGCTGGCAGGTGAGAGAGCATATTGCATGAGCAGGGGAGACTGCCGGTGATGGACAATGAGCAGCCGCACCAGGAACTGGTCAAGTGCGTGGTCGTGGGTGACACGGCAGTCGGAAAGACCAGACTGATCTGCGCCAGGGCCTGCAACAAGCACGTGTCACTGTCGCAGCTCCTGACCACACACGTGCCCACGGTCTGGGCTATCGACCAGTATCGGATTTACAAGGATGTGAGTTCGCGCACGGCCTGATTACAACTCCTTGCGTTCAGTCTCTCTTATAGGCGTATTTGACATAATTAGCGGTCGAATTTAAATCGAAAGCTGCATTTCACATCAAAGGCTACATAAGTGATAAACAATTTCTGTTTTTTCTTTTTTTTAAATATTTGATATGGCAAAAGTTATTTAAATCGAGCAGTATAAATTGTTCGATAAATTAAAAATGGTTTAAAATTGATATTTTTTGAGATTATTATTTAATGTTAAATAAAAATATTGTTAAGATAATTGTCGAAGTTATTTAATATTAAAATCTAAGGACTTGCAAGAAATAATAAAATAATATTTGTCAAAGTAAAATATATTCATACATTATTAAATTAAAGAGACATATTTTTTTTTTAATTTTTAAAAAAATGTAATAGCTTTAAAAATACTGTGATATGCATATATCAGGTGTTGGAGCGGTCTTGGGAGGTAGTAGACAATGTAAACGTGTCGCTGCGTCTCTGGGACACATTTGGCGATCACGAAAAGGATCGACGTTTCGCATACGGCAGGTAAGATTCCACGCGTCGAGTGGAAAATCAAGCGAATCGATATTAATTATTAGGTGGGTCTTGCTAGGTCCGACGTCGTGTTACTATGTTTCTCCATAACCAACCCCGTTTCCTTGCGAAACTGCAAGGTGATGTGGTATCCCGAGATCAGAAGATTCTGCCCGCAGACACCGGTCCTGTTGGTCGGATGCAAAAACGATCTGCGGTATATGTATCGGGACGAGACTTATCTCAGCTACTTCCGCGACCGCAGTCCCTTTGTAAGGTGAGTTTTATTTCTTCGCAAGATATAAAATCTACTCTTCTAATATGAACAATAATTAATTTAATTTTCACGATTCGATCGCGCGAAACTAATTTCAGTAAAAAACAGATCGTTCAATAACAAACAAAAAATAAAGAAAAATAGTTATTCGCCTTTTAGTTATTTTTATCGATCAGTCGGATCTTTTTTGGTCGCAAACAAAGTGTATGCGGCTTTAAGGCCGATTTTTTTAGCTCTATATGTGAAACTCATTCAATCGCGTCGGTGCTCCTTCAACGATGGCCAGTTTACCGAAGTATTGATTTCAGCCAGTCTCCGTAAGCTTTCCCGCGAACTCTTTTACCTGCAAAAAATATTCATTATGATCAGCTTATGCGACAGTGTCGTATATGAATTTTATGATGGTATTGCAATATCGATCGAAAAGCTGAAAATTTTCCGATGGTCGAATAAGGGTTGCATCAAAATTAACCGAACCTTGACATACAGCGATTTCTCTCGCGGGAGAAAGCCTAAAAATTTCTCGCAATTTTCAATGAGCTCTCGTTCCGCATACAACTGTAATCGAAATGATTTTATCAACGTTTTACTTTCTTTTTCAATAAGCTCGAATATGATAAAATATAATCGTCTATTTGATAATGATTTTTTAGGGCTACGAGGAAGAGCGATCTGGTGATGCCCGATCAGGCACGGGCGGTGGCGCGAGAACTCGGTGTGTGCTATTACGAGACAAGTGTCTTCACTTATTACGGCGTGAACGAGGTGTTCGAAAATTCGATACGCGCCGCCTTGATCGCACGTCGTCAGCAGCGTTTCTGGATGACGAACCTGAAGAGGGTGCAAAGACCTCTGTTACAGGTAAATATAACACGGCTGTTATTTGTGAGAAATTTCTCTTCCAAGCAGCAATAAACAGTTCATTCGATCTAAAATTGCGCAATAAAACTAATAATTCCATAAAAAGAACGACTTCAATTTTTTCGACGTTAAATTTCATTAATGCTTGAATTATTTTTTTCACAGATCACATAATGAGAATTTGTGATGATTTTACTTGACAGGCGCCATTCTGCCCACCGAAACCGGTACCGCCGGAGGTGTGCTTGGCTGCAAGCACGTATGAGGAAAACATGAAGAGCCTGTGGACGCGGCCGGTTCACACAGACGTCACTCTGATAACTGGGAACATCACGTTCCTGGCTCATCGGTGCTTGCTCGCCGCGGCGTCGCCGGCCTTCCACCGGCTGTTTTCGATGGAGCTCTCTCACGAGTTGACACCGCGCAGCTCCAGCGAGTCCAGCATGGTATATGCCAGCTCTATCAGGTTCGAAGGTAGTAACAGGATAATACAATAACACATGTTTCCCTTATTGTCTCGTCAAGGTGAGCACTTTCGGCGAGGCCACCGTCGGTGACTTCAACGACGATACCGAGTGCCTAATTCGTATCGATCAAAGCAAACCCGCAAAGTGAGTTGATCCTTCCTCGTATGTTTACTCCTGCATCGGTTTAACCCTTTATTTGGCAAGCCGCAACTAACACGTCACGAAAACACGCTTAATTCCGCAACTTTAATGCGACTAACACATTAAAATGTATTGTTTGTGGTTTTTTTTCTTTTTAATTCTAACAGAAAGGTGTACAAATTGAACTGCTTTTAACGATACATCAACCCACACACATACTGAAGCTTGAAACTACCATTGCCAAATAAAGAGTTAAATGCAGTCCCTTTAGCCTTTGCACGGTCTTTAAGTGTCGGCACTTTCCACTTACGTAGCGAGAGCAATTACGGAGCAGAGTTTGCAATATTTTGTAAATAAAGCGTTTGTATGCTTCATGCGAGATACGCATCTCTGGTACAAACGAGCACACGTTTTTGCAGAGTTTGGGAACAACTTAAGCGACGATCGAGTTTTCAAGTACTGCCGACGATGGATAATCAGAGGAAGACTAACGGTGCGTCGAGGGAGTTGAATCATCCTGCCTTCCAAAATATTCGTATATGTCTGGTGAGTGTAAATATTCGCGCGAAATCACCGCTTTGTCGTAACCACCGGCGAACAACTTTGCAGACTGAGAACGCAAACGGGGTGCAGCAGCCCATGACCGTGGTCACGCTGTCGAAGCTGATCACGCCACAGGCGATGCAGCAATGCCTGCAATTCATTTACACGGGCAGCTTGGATAAACGGTATCACGATCTACAAGTACGTTGGGTCGATAGAAATTATCGTAAGAGAAAAGGTATACTCGAGAACGTAAGGAGACTCCCTTCTCTTTTCATTTGACGCGGCAGTTGTGAGCGCGCACGAAAAAGCAAAACGGGTGCGACATTCGGGTAGAACGACGAAAAGTGATGCACTCGTAGGCTTTACGACAGGCAGAATTCAATCGAATAATTACAGTCTTTTCAGTTTGAAAGCTGCCTTTGCGGTTGCGCAAGCTTTCTTCTTGTTTATGTTGAATTAATTTTAGAGTGGTTTGCGAATTTTCAAAATTAGAAAAAAGAAATCGGTTGCGAGCGCTCCGCGTTTGTGATAAATTACACGGTATGTACACATATGATCTCTTAAGAGCGTGAGCTAAAATCGTAACTATTGCAGAATATACAGTAACTAACGCGGCTCTGTTCTTTCAGACAGCTCCTATCGGGCTTCTACTGGTTAGTACAAAGCGAAATGCGTTTTGAAAAATTTGGCAGTCGCATCAATACATACGTACACGTCTACATGCGCACGCACGCACGCACATAGTAGCTAGCCTCATCTAGCTGAGCTATCTCTCTCTCTTTCTCTCTCTCTCTATGTCGACTTTAAAGATTTAATTGCGAGATCATGTCATCACACGAGCATGCGCTTCTCTAATTCACGTCTTTGTCGATTTTTTAGACAGCAAACTCGACGCACTTTCGAGAAAAGAAAACTCTGTGTTTTATTTAAGAAATACATGCAAAATAAACTGAACAAATATTTCTTAAAAAATATTGATGTACTAAAAATTAAAAAAAAGAAAAGAAAAACCTAGAAGTCGTAAAATGTACTAAACTTATTTATGTGTTTTACAGTTAAAAGCTCTTGTTGTTTTCTGCAGAAATTTATTTGTCCAATAACATCGCACAATTTGCGGCGATTACTTTAATTTTCAACGTTTAAGCTAATAGACCATGCTCATTAAGCTTATAGTTCGTGAATCATCGCTGTCGTAGTGTCGTACGGCCATCGCCCTCGGCGTTATCGAGCGCAGAGATCCTTGAGGAATCAATCTCGCAGCCGATTACGGGGGCGAATGGATATGCTTCCAATCGTTTTCATCGACATTCTAAAATCATCGCCTAGTAGGATAGGATCTCTAGCAATCCGGAAACGATCGAATCTCGTATTTTTTTTTGTTTGTTGATCATTCTACGTCGACGAGAGACGCGACGGTGCACCGGCATGATTTCTCGATTCGTCTCTGCCCGCAGGAGATCAGACAAGCGGCCGAATTCCTCGAGCTACCGCAATTACTCATGGTGCTCGGTAGCATACAGACGCAGACGCGAGAGCAGTTCGTCAACAGCGATCTCAATAACCGGTACAAGCAGGTGGTTAGACAACGGCTGGAGGATATCTGCTTGGAGCAAGGTGGGTATCGAGCGCAATCAAGTTGTAAAAAGTGTTTATCGACGTGCCTTTGAGCGTAAACGTAACAATAATGCTCAGGTCTGTTCGCCGATGTGATGTTCGAGTTGGACGATGGCAGCGCACCGGCCCACAAAGCGATTCTCACTGCCCGATGCGACGTGATGAAAGCCATGTTCTCTGGCGATTTTCGCGAAAGCAGCGCTAAAGTCGTAAGTGTACTCCATGCGATTTTAATGTGGCAGAATTGAGCGAAGATAAATTAATTTTCATTAACGATTGATGCTTAAACAATTAATGCGGACATATTTCACGATCGCGATGACAGATAGTCTTTCCTGGGGTGCGGGAGTACACATTCCACAAGCTGCTCTGCTACCTTTACACGGACGAGGTGCCGGCGATCTCCTCGGGCAGATGCCTGAATTTACTGGAACTAGCCAACAGACTCTGCCTTCCGCGACTGGTGAATCTGGTCGAGAGCAGAGTGATCGAGGATCTTGAGCGTCTTTCGCAAAGCGAGGGGAACGAGGCCGTCGAAAACTGCCTGAGGTTGTTGGAGCCGTGCAAGGTCGGTCTCTAGCTTGCTTTACGTCAATTAATATACGATAACGTAACGGCATCTGCTTAATTACGACTTGCAGTTGCATAATGCCGATCAGCTGGCCGACTGGTGCATGAATCATCTGTGCGTTAACTATAATAAGCTGTGCAAAATGTCGCCACGCAGTGTGCGGCTGCTTCATCCGGAGAATCAAGAATATTTGAACGAGCACCGATGGCCACCGGTCTGGTATGCATTAAAAAAACAACACAATTCAGTTTAATGAGAATAAAAAAGAAATTGATAGAAACCAGTGCGCGATTTGCGAAGCGCTGTACAAATCCGATTTTTTTTTGTTACTATTCAAAATAATTTATTTTTATTTTTTTCTAGTTTCAATATTGTGGCGATATGTGATATTAATATATCGCGTCTTTGTGTCTTTTGCAGGTACTTGAAAGATTACGATTACTATCAGAAGTGTCTGGCAGAGCAGGACCGCGAGAACAAACCAACATTAAAGCGGAATCGCAATCAATCCGGCTGCCTGTGTTTCTCAGGCTCGAGCAAGACCAGACGGGAGGGTAGCGCCGGGGGAAACGGCAATGGCACGACGTCGGCGACGTCGAACGATACGCCGGCGGATCGTCCGCTCTTCGACGCCTCCACCGAATCCGGCGAGCAGGCCGTATGACAGGAGCCAAGCGGCCTCAGCCGCTCCGTCAGATTCATCCTGGTTCTACCCGTGCTCATGGTCTTCATATGCACTATTTTTACCATTTTGATACTGCTACAGATTTATACTTAAACGGACCGCAAGATACCGGCGAGACTAATGCGTAAGCGCACGTAAGTACACACATATACACACGCGCAACGTATAAGCAAATACGAGAACAAAATACATGTGATGTCGACGATTCGCGCGACGAAAGCCGGAGGTCTTCAGCCGGGAACGCATTTGATTTTAGCCCGTCGAGGTCGAGTTCCGAGTTCCACTCCCTACTTGTATGTGATTTCTTCTTCTTCTTTTTTTTTTTCTAACGAAACTATTCTCCGCACCGTGCATTTTTAAGAGCAGCGCTACGCCGACGACTCGAGTCTTCGCGAGCGTTTGCAACTTTTTCGTACGTGGACTTGCGGATTTTTGCGACACAAGCTGATACTTTCATCTTCCGCAAGCGACAGCGTAAAGCGAGGATCGTATTTCGAGGGGAGACTTTGTATTTTCTACATGTTTCGAGGTGTGTACATTCAGAGACAAAGTTGCGTGGATGATGATACGAATAAAAATTACAAATTACTTGCTTTATTTTAATTCGTATCTAAAAATAATATGAATTAACATATCCATAAGCAATTTCATGTATGCACAAATATATCTACTGGTACCTCGAAGAAATGGCAATCTATAAGAAATAAGGAAGCAAAACTAAATAGACGAAGTATTATTTTTTTGTCGTATATTGAAAAATATATCGATTAGAAGCTGTAAACTATTTTTATTGAATTTTAATCGTAGAGTAAAGATCGTCTCATGTGAGAAGTATTAAGTCATATCAAGATATTAGAGGAAGTACGCGAATAATCAGGTGAAGGATGAAAAGAAACTAGATAAAAGTAGCTATGTATCATTTGAAGCTATAATTACGCTATATATGATAAACTTGTATATGCATATGTTTAAAGTCTCTTACAAATCAATCTTTTACTCAAGAAATGATGATATGTTCGAGTGTTCACGCATCGTTGTCCCTGATTGTACGTTTTGTGACGGAGATGCGCTGTGACTTTCGCGAATGCAATTGCATCAATGCGAACGTCGCCGTTTTCGCCGATGCGGTTTTGCCGTGGATGATCGGGCGCGTATTAAAACATCGATCACGGTATGATTGTCGTCTCGGTATGATTCCGTACGTTCTCTCACAGACCAGCGATTATTGCGACAATCATCCGCGATCCACGGTTTGACAATTGTGGTAATTATATGCACACGATTTCTGATTTCGCGAAAGCGAGACGTAGAGAGTGATAGGTAAGAATCCTAAATATCCTGAATTTGATATGAAAGCGCGGTGTGCGAATAAACGTGAAAAGGAAACATAGCACGTAACATTGTCGTCCTATCGTCAATGCGCGTTAGACTGAAGAAACGAGCAATAGCATTAGTACGTAGCGCAGGTAATAAGCGGATATCGTGAAATGCAGCAAGTCAGCCTGCCAAAGTCGATCACCTATCTCGTTTCAGTATGTCATTGCTGCCAATGAACAAGGGATTGTTAATCAAACTGGTGCGGCAGTCAATGGCAGTCGGCCAAATTGCTGTCTCGCGCGTCGTTTAGTTAGAATAGGCAAGATGTGATAGACTTTGGAAAGATTGATCGATTTTACGGTGTAACAGTGTTGGGCATTTACGAATATATTTGGGCAAACGACAGTTATTGACCACAGTTTGATCACTTGAAGAATATTCGTTTGTGAAATGTTCGATATTTGTAATATTTAATTATATATGATAAATCTGTAATTTAATTGCTTTTTATAACGAGTTTCGTACAGAACATATGTATAAAACACAAGCTTATAAATCGGCGAAATTAGGCTTTAAAAATAAACGGAAGTATAAAGCTATTGGCTACTTCGGGAAGTGGTCATTAATCGCATAGTGGTCAGTAATTGTAAGAGCTTACTCAATATGTAGAATACTAAAACTGTCACCTTATAAATAGTGTAACTAAATTAATGTAAAGGTACGTGGTTGTTTCTCACACTCGGACGTAGTCTGAAAGCTATTGTAAAGTTGTCTAAAAGACACCTTGATCGATTGGACGTGCTTTAGATACCTTTCAAACAACTTTCGGATACTTGTGTTATACGAGCAATAGTGTAATTACACATAAAGTGATAGTTTAGATATTCTACGCCGTGATTATTATTCTTTACTGATTATCGATCATTATTCCTTACTCGAAGACGCCCAAGACTGGTATAGAGTCGTTTAAAGGACACACAACGTAAGTAAATTTGTGCGAATTTGTACTCTTTAGGAAGAATATGCAGCGATAAGTTCTGCCTCCCCTTCGACTCGTACGTACAATCTGCAATAAATGACGTCACTATTTTTTTTCGTACAAAAATTCCCCGCGCCGCAAGGCGGCTTGCAACGCATTGGACCGTGATAATCGTTCGTTTTCGCGAAGGGAGGGAACTAATTAGCTTTGTATCGCGGCAGCCGCGTCAACATATCGATTACGGTAATGAGTTACTGCTGTGACGACACCACCATCATTGTTATCGCGACAGTAACGAGATCTATCATAGATAGTGAGAGAAAGAAACGATTACGTTTGTAAGGGATGTAATGTATCTAGCATTAGGACCTAGATAAGACAAAGCTTCCTATTTTTTCGCCCACGAGAAACATCTTCGCGTTTCGGCCGGGACACGCGTTTTATTCCAGATGTCTTTCATTTTCAACTCTACGATCATTCCAATTATCAAAATTGTGCAACGCGAAATTTATTGTTGACGTAATGTGTCTTCAAAAGGTTTGATTCTCGTCTAATTTCGTTGCGCAAAGCGCGCGTTGATGGAAGCGACAGGTCGAAAGAGAAAAAGAGAAATTTAATTATCTTTGGACATTACTCAGTCAACATTTTGTAAGTTTAGATAATGATTTTTGCACGTACAAAAAAAAAACGCGTAATTTCGCGTTTAATGACCCGGCTGCAATGCTCACGCGAATGGATTAGATTATAATATTAATACTAACAACAATATTAACGATAGACGTAACATGTAATCGTTAAGCTAATCGGTGTTAAGATATTACCGTTAATAATTTGATACTCTCGTTAGCTCCGATCATTTACATAATCATCGTCGTATTTTTCAATCGATTCGCCCATATCCGCGACTGTGGAACGCGACAGGAAAAGAGGATAGTGTAGGAGATTGTATTGCGAGGGTGAAGCGAGAGAGTGAGATAGGGGGATGATGTGCAGAGGAATTTAAAGTGCGATGGGACGTAGAACGAATGGGGTGAGCGAAAGGAGGCAATGCACACGGATGAATTGACGTCCATATACATTTGTATCACGCAAATGCGCTCCCACGGTGCATCCATTGCGAAGAGAATGCAAAGCCAAGCTGAAGATCGTAAACAAGTTTTAATTTTTTTAAAAGGAATAATAAATTAGCTCTTTTTGATTAAAATTTAAATTATAAGTTAGCCTTTTACTACTTTTTTTTCTACGCCTAGCTGATCGTTTCGACAAGGCAATGGAAAATTAAAAGCAAAAAATGAATCCTTTTCTTAAAATCGCAATGCATTACGAACATTTTTCATCGCGTTCTTAGCTCATTTTAATTCATCTATTTTTCTGTATGTGGGAGCGACGATGAACGTTTGTCACTAACACACACACACACACATTCGCAACAAGTTGTGCTACTGCCTGATTCATAATGTAATTATGTTTAACGTGGAGAAGCATGAAAAGAAAGGGAAGATTTGACATGACACGGTGATGCAGTGTATGTCTGCTCCGACGAGGATGAGAATAACGTCCCACTTGTACGCTACGTCAATTTCGATGTCAATGTTGTCCTTCGTCGCTCATGTATATATAATATATTTAGCCGTAAGTGTATATTTTATACTGAAATTGGTAACAGTAGGATTAAGCGCGGTCATATTAATAGCGATGATCGAAAAAAAAAACCAAAGGATTCGTGCGCGGTTTTCTCGCATTTATATTTTTGAGAAAGTATAAGAGAGGAAAAGACAAAGGAAGAATAAGAAGGAATGTTGTTTCTCTACGCAGAACAATTATTTTCTCGACGTTATCGAAGCAATATAAGGCCAGATAAAATAATATAATCAGTCATTTAATATACTTACTAATTTCTTTTTACTATTTTGTATTGGCTCTTTCCCCTCCAATATCGCTTCAATGACGTCATGGACATGAAAATGTGTATCTTGATGAGGTAATTGTGAACGACAACTGGACACTTATATGCTGAAGGAATAAGAGACAATTCCAAAAATGCTACATAGCCCATTTATCCTAACGTAGTCCGGCTGTATTCTTTATCTAGGAACTGGCGTAAATCAAACTTTCTAAATATCGTTTAAGTAAGAACTTCAATTTGTACCCGTGTCATGCTTAAATTCGTTATTGTCAAGAGTTCCTTATTATGCATTAGACCGATTAGCATTTTTAGACCGATTTCAGAATAAACGATTCGACGAAAATTACACCATTTCGTGTGAAAAATCGACAAGTCAATCACGGAAATACATCGAAAAAATTTTTAACGCGTGACAAGGAAAGTGTTTGGTTGCCAAAAATTTGGTTGGCTGGATAAATAAACTTAATAAAGATGAACTTGACAGCTTAATTTGCATTTTTTAATTATAACATTTTTAATTAAATGCTTGCTTTACACTTGAAAAATGAAAATGTTCTAACGATCGCAAACATTGAAGTTTATCTACTTCAGAATTTTCGCCAAAAATTGTTCACCAAAACGCTGCTTAAGATTGAGTGATTAAATAATCATCTCTACATGATTAATCGTCAATAACTTTAAAGTATAAGAGTGGTCCAGAAGTAATAAATAAGTGAAGAAACCCAGATATATATACGACATATCCATATTTTATTTTTAATTTCGAATCCCTTCTTCTGCAATATTACTTCGCATTTTTTTACCGCTATAATTAGTAGTTAGTTCGCGACTTGTAGATCGTGTTCTGCGTGTCACACACGCATTCACGCATCAATCGATCGACATACGTTTTATCGCAAGTCCGAGAAGAAACATCCGTTTTTTTTATAGCTGTCGATGTAACAAAGACAAATCACGTTAGCTATTAAAATACAACCAATCCTGTTAACTGTAAGGATTTAGTTCAGCGATATTTTAAAGAATGCGACATGCGAAAGATGAAAATGCGGAGAACGTAATTTGAATAAAAAGATCAGCCGACAATCGACAAATTTCGCACTTCCTTAATCGATCGAACCGACCGCGACAGCGCAGTTCTGCGTTTCGGTTCAATTTATGCGAATCGTTCTACGCTCATCTACTTCGAAGGGGTGATAATATAGTCTTCAGAATATAAAGTATATATTTAATGTGTGTGTGCGTATATATACATACATACACACATAATACCACGCACTATTTTTGTGTACGGGCGTGATAAATACCTAGCAATTCTGACTGTGTTATTTGTATGAGTAATCTCATCTGAGCCACGGGATGTCCTTCTGCATAATTCATGAATAAATAAATTTCTTTACAACATGCTGCAGCCAGTTAATAACGATACAAAATATTACGTTGATCACTTTTATTAGCTTTGTACTTGCTTGAAAACATCCTCTTGTTCCTTCTTTTCTCAATTCTGTTGAACTGCTTCATTTTTACGACTTTACTTTTGTTACATTTTATTGCGTATCGATGATGCCGTATTATACCACTTTATATTTTTACGTTAAATTAAACAAAGTACATTTTGCAAGCAGTATATCTTGCGATAAATTATAATAATTAAGATAAAATAGATGCACCATTGAAAGAAATATTTTTCAATAAAAATAATTGTTCACAAACGATTATCTCCTTATAAATTATCTTACATTCTAACTTGATCACTAGTATGCATCTGACCTAAGATTATTTTTGTCCTTCTAAGGACAATGTGTCAGAAATAAGTTACAAAGAAAAACTACGCCATGTAAACGCAATTGCTAAACTTATGACGCCAAAAAAATTAACCGAAAAGATTTATAAATGCA